TGTCCCCACTGTCCACTGACTCCTCCGCTGTCCCACTGAGCTGTCCCACTGTTCCCACCACTGTCCCCACTTTCCCCACCACTGTCCCCACTGTACCTCTGTCCCATTGTCCCACCGCCGTCCTCGCCACCGCCTTCACCACTGTCCCCACCACCATTGTACCCTCCACTGTCCCACAGTTTCCACCTCATTCCCATTGTCCCCACACCACTGTCCCCACCACCACCGTCACCACCACTGTCCACTGTCCCCCCCTGGTCCCACCATTGTCCCCACCACTGTCCCCACCACTACCGTCCCCACCACTGTCCCACTGTCCCACTGTCCCCACCACTGTCTCGCTGTCCCCTCACCACTGTCCCCACCAACACCGTCCCCACCACTGTCCGCACCCCCACTCGGTTTTCGAGGGGGAGCAGGGGGGGAGTGGTTTTCGAAGGGGGGGGGGTTCGAACCGGTAGTGACCCCCCCCCCTTTTCATGATGAACTGGGGGGGGGGAGGGGAGGGGTTCGAACCTGTAGTGACCCCCCCCCCGGTTTTCCAGAGGGGTGGGGGGGAGGGGTTCGAACCGGTAGTGACCCCCCCCCGGTTTTCCGCCAGCAGCGGTAGAACACGCTCTTTCTCACATCATCATCAATCATCAACAACACATCATCAGCATCATCGTCATCATCATCATCAACATCACGCATCAGCATCAAGCAACATCATCGATCATGATCATCATCATCATCATCATCAGCAGCAGCAGCATCAGCACATCATCATCATCATCATCATCAGCAAGCATCATCAGCATCATTATCACGACAATCACCATCATCAGATCAAGCATCATCATCAGCAATCAGCATCATCATACAACAGCAGTCACATCTGTCATCATCATCAGCATCAGCTCACGTCATCGACATCATCGGGATCATAATCATCACGCATCATCAATCAGCATCAAGGCAAACAGCCGTCTCCAATCATCAGTCAAGCAACAACATCATCATCATCCGGCAGCTGTCATCATCATCAGCATCATCATCATCGTCAGCATCATCAGCATCATCAGCATCAGCATCATCATCATCCTCATCAGCATCATCATCAGCATCATCAGCATCATCAACATCATCATCATCAACATCATCAACAGCTTCATCATCAGCATCATCATCGTCAGCATCAGCTTCATCATCAACATCATCATCATCATCATCACCATCCGAATCATCATCATCAGCATCATCATGAGCATCATCATCCTGGGCATCATCATCCTCATCAGCCGCATCGCCATCAACATCAACAGCATCATCATCAGCATCATCATCGTCGTCATCATCAGCAGCAGCATCCTCATCCTCATCATCCTCGTCGTCATCATCATCACCATCATCATCATCATTATGATCAGCAGCATCATCATCGTCATCCGCATCATCATCAGCGTCATCATCATCAGCAGCATCAGCATCATCAGCATCAGCATCATCATCCTCCGCCTCCTCCTACGCCTCCTCCTCCTTATCAGCATCATCTTCCCCCTTTTCCTGCTCCTCCTGTTCCCCCCATACTCATCCTCATCCGCCTGCTCCTCCTCCTCCTATTCCTCTTCCTATTCCTGCTACTCCTCCTCCTCCTCATCATCCTCCTCCTCCGCCTCCTCCTCTTCATCCTCCTTCTCCTCTTCCTCCTCCACGTCCTCATCCTCCTCCTCCGCCTCCCGCTCCCCATCCTGCACCTCCTCCTCTTCCTCCTCCTCCTCCTCCTCCTCCTCCTCCTCCTCCTCCTCCTCCTCAGATGGTGTTACTCTTCCCACTTTGCTCGTCCCTCCCCCTTCTCCTTTTCACAAGCCTCCCCCAGCCCCTCCCCCTTCTGGAGGAGGTGACAAGGGCTAAACTCCAAACGCTCATCTCTCCTCCTTCATTGACCCCGCTTGCCAGGAATGTCGCGGAGCCGCCGTCGTGAGGAAAGAATCCCCCATGATCCGCAGGTACTCGTCCCGCGCCCTCGTCCACAGCTGGTTGCCGCCGCCAGACGCGAGAAGCAGCCCCTGGCGCGAAGATAGGGGGTGAGGGTGAAGAACCTCCTCCTGCTCTTCTTCATCATCCTCCTCCTCTTCCTCCTCAACCTGCTCAACCTCTCCAACCTCCTCCTCCTCCTCCTCCTCTTCCTCCTCATCCTCCTCTTCGTCCTCGGCGTCCTCCTCAGCAGCATCAGCATCATCAGCATCATCATCACCAGCATCATCATCAGCAGCAGCATAATCAGCATCATCATCATCAGCAGCATCATCATCACCATCAGCAGCAGCATCAATATCCTCATCATCATCATTATCATCATCATCATCATCATCATCATCATCATCATCATCATCATCATCATCATCATCATCATCATCATCATCATCATCATCATTATCATCATTATCATCATCACCATCAGAATCAGCAACATCATCATCATTATCAGAATCATCATCATCACCACCATCTTCATCACCACCATCATCATTGTCCCCCTCCCCAATGCGAGGCCACGATCCCTCGTTACAAGAAACACACACAAATCAGCGTTCCTGGGGCGAGTGTGTGTGCGTGTGTGTCTGTTTATATTTGCGTGTGCGTGCGTGCGTTCGTGCGTGAGTGTGTGTGTGTATGTGTGTGCGTGTGTTTGTGTGTTCGTGCGTGTGCATGTGTGTGAATGCGTGAATGCATGAATGTGTGAATTGTGCATGTGTGGATGTGTGGGTGCGTGAGCGTGTGAATTCGTGAATGCGTGAACGCGTGGCTGTGTTAATGTGTACTAGAACCATCGCGCGCGCTTCGCGCGCGCTCGAGTTCTAGCTAGGCTGGATGGTCGAACTCCTGGGGATCTCTATTCCATGACACTTCTTTTCTGGGGCTTCCAAGAACTACGAAGACGGCCCAAGTGGCTGCCAAGACTTCCTTCGACCCACCCAATACAGCTTAAGACAGGCCCAACAAATACTTCGGGGGCCCTTTTATTCGCCGCGGCTGGACGTAGCCGGAGGAAGAGGGAGGAGAAGGGGAGGTGAAGGAGTTCCCTGGGGGGAGAAGGAGAAGGAGGATGAGGAGTTGGAGAGGGTGGAGGAAGCCGCAGAGAGAAGGAGGAACCGGAGGAGGAAGAGGAGGAGGAACTGTGCTACTTCCTTATTCTTCTTCTTCTTCCCAACCCTCCTTGGTTGGGTTTTCGTTTTGAATAGAGCACTGTGATCGCGTCCTTCTCCTCCTTCTTCTCCAGCCTCCCGTCTCCCGCTTCCGTCTTGTCTCCTCTTGCCTTGCGCGAACCCGGCCATCCCTGGGAGGCTGCGATCATCGAAACTGTCGCCGCTTTCGAGGGCTGCTTGGGAGGCCAGCAGAGTGGGTACCCACCGCAGATCAGAAGTAGACCTCGCCATCCCGGGGGGGGCTGCGATCAGCGAAACTGTCGCCACTTTCGAGGGCTGCTTGGGAGGCCAGCAGAGTGGGTACCCACCGCAGGTCAGAATTAGACCTCGCCATCCCTGGGGGGCTGCGATCTGCGCAACTGTCGCCACTTTCGAAGGCTGCTGGGGAGGCCGACAGAGTGGGTACCCACCGCAGGTCAGAAGTAGACCTCGCCATCCCTTGGGGGCTGCGATCAGCGAAACTGCCGCCACTTTCGAGGGCTGCTGGGGAGGCCAGCAGAATGGGTACCCACCGCAGATCAGAATTAGACCTCGTCGTAAGACACTCTAGGGCCCTTGTGGGGCCATCTTGAGCCACCTTGGGCCCCTCTTGGGCCAGCGTGGGCCCTGGGTGGGCCCTATCAGGACTCTTCTCGGCCGTCTAAAGGCGAACTGGGGGGCCTCTTGGCCCGTCGTGGGCGCCCAGAGGAGCGGACAAACGAAGATGCTAAACTCATACAACAATTAATGAAACATCGCTGATGCTGTGCTCCGAGACTCCTGCGCCAGTCAGGGGGGGCTGATTCGATCGTCTTGAGCGGCCTTGCAAGCGCTCGAGCTGCCCCTCTGCCCTATTGGTCCGCTCTGGTCGCTCACTCGTGCCCCATGGATCTGTTTTGAGCGGCCCGTGGGAGGCCCTGGAGGCCCCCTGACTCACAGAGGGAACCTCAGGCTTAGGGCCAGGGTCTGGCAGTGCTGGAAGCCTTGAACCTCTTGGGGCTGGAGGGGTCGTCGCGTGCTTCGCGTGCGCTCAGGTTCTGGCGCGTGTCTGCTTTGTCCGACAAACGTACGTGCACACACACACACACACACACACATATATATACACACACACCCGTCCGTTCCTACACCGATCCAAACATACAGTCGTCCATACACCCCATCTTCTAGAAAGAGTGAATACCTTCATCAAAATCCCACCAGCCCACCGCGCGACAGGTGGTCTAACGATGTCGGCCTTTCCTATTCCCGAAACACTCTTCCCCTTCGGGGAAGGGGCTATCACTGTTCCTTATTGATTATCATACCTGCCGATGTGATCTCGCACTGCGTTATTTCGACCGACCGACCGTGCCTGGGATGTGTTCTGGACTGGGATGTGTGCTAGGACATGTGCTGGGACGTGTGCTGCCTTCGTGTGCTTGGATGTGTGCAGGGTTATGCTGCCTCCGTGCGCTGGGATACGTGCTGGGATGTGTGCTGCCTTCGTGTGCTGGGATATGTGCTGGGGTGTGGCTTGGGTGTGCTGGGGTCTCTGGGCCAAAATGTGCATTGGGATACGTGCCGCCCCCGTGTGGTGGGATGCGTGCTGGGATACGTGCTGGGTGTGCTGGGGTCAACCATGCCCCCCCGCCCACCCCATCCCCCCTTCCGACTGACCAACCGTGCGCCCCCACCCGCCCCCTCCGCCCCGTGGCCCCTTCTGCATATTCCGACCGTCCGACCGTGCCCCCCCCCCTCTGCCCCCGCGCCCCGCCGCCGTGGCCCCCGTCAGCTTATTCCGACCGACCGACCATGCCCCCCCCCTGCCCGACCGCGCCGTGCGCCCCCCCGCCCTCTCCGTCCAATGACCCCCGTTGGCTTATTCCGCCTCCTCTGCCCGACCACTCTCGCACCCCTCCGCCCCGTGGCCCCCTTCTGCATATTCCGACCGACCGACCGTGCCCCCCCTGCCCGACCGTGCCCTCCCGTCCCCCTGCTCCCCCCCCCGCGCCCCTCCCGCCCGTGGCCCCCGTCTGCTTATTCCGACCGACCGACCGTGCTCCCACCCCTGCCGACCGTGCCCTCCCGCCCCCCTTTCCCCCCCACGCCCCGTGGACCCCGTCTGCATATTCCGAACAACGCAATGCCCCCTGCCCGACCGTGCCCCATCGTCCCCCTGCTCCCCCGCACCCCGCCGCTCCGTGACCGCCGTCTGTTTATTCCGACCGACCGACCGACCGACCGTGCCCCCTCCCCTGCCCGACCATGCCCTCCCGTCCCCCTGTTCCCCCCCCGCACCCCTCCGCCACGTGGCCCTCGTCCGACCTACCCGCCTGCTCCGAGCTGTCGTCGCCGCCGCCGTCATCGTCGCCGCCACCGCCGACGCTCAGAAAGGGAAAAGGTACCTGTACCGCTACCCTTGTCTCGTTTTCCCTTTTTGGGGCCTCCTGGGAGGCCCTCGTCGCCGCCGCTGGATTCGGCTCGAAATTCTGGTCAGAACGCACTCTGGGAGAGGTCCAGGGAGTGGCGGTATCGGTACCTTTGGGTTTCCCAGACGCCGCCGATCATGTCCAGGGAGAGAGATCGTCGTCCGCCTCGTCGCTACCTCTGGGGCTGTTGCAAATGCGCAAATGCCCCGAACGACCCGGAGACACTTGTGGAGCCGCCCGCTGAGCGCCCCATGCCGCCCAAGAGCGCTCAAAGACGCCCGAGACGACCCAAGACGGCCCAAGAAGCCCCCAGCACGCTCCAAGAGGCCTCCGAAAGGCTTCCGAAGTAGGCCCCGAGGGGCAAAAATTATTCAGTTGCCCAAGGTTTCGGAAAGACTTCGGCATTCTCGCCTCGTCGGCTCCCCGACGCTCACAGACGGCCCTAGAGGCCCCCAATACCGACCCAGCACGGCCCAAGCTCTTATGTGTATATATATATATATGGAGATACATATAGATCCACCGCCTTCCGAGGTCCTCGAAGGTCGATCCCCCAGGCGCTGGGTGTATGAAATCCCCGCCTCGGATGATAAGGCTAGGGAACAGAACGATCCAAAAAGCAAGTGGGCATCTCAGTCCTTGTCGTGCAAGACCACAATCCAACGCTGTACATGAGCTGCTACCTTGGGCTGCAGTTCGCTGGATACTGCTGCGTGAAAGGCGCTGCTACCCTGGGCAGCAGCGCCATGCAATTTAAGTACCCCAGCATTACTTATCCCACACGGCACTTGAACGAGAGGTGGACATGCTTGGTTCACGCATGACTTTCTGTCCTGAATCCTGAATGGATGAGCATCTAACCCAAATCCAAAATTCCCGGATTCCTTGGGGCCTTCGGAGACTCCGCGAAACCGTGAAGAAGCCAGGAGGCGCGGTACCGGCCAGATGTCAGGGGATGTGTAGGACCCCCGAGTAGGAGTTCCACTCCGATGAAAAGAAGGAATTATGTGAATTCCTTCTTTTCCAACCATCCTGTGGTGTTGGGTCCTCGTTTTGAAGAGACGGTCCCCGCGATCCTGTCCTCTTCTCCTCTTCTCCCCCTCCTCCCCTCCCTCCTCATTTTCTCCCTGCGTTTCACCCACCCAGCACAGCGCTTCGTGACCCAATAGGGAGCCCCACCGAAGCCCCCAGTGGGACCGCCCGCACGAGTCCCCCACACCCAATTTGGCGCTTTCACCCACCCAGTACAGCGTTTCGCGGCCCAATAGGGAGATCCACCGAAGCCCCCCGTGGGAACGCCCGCATGCGTCCCCCACGCCCAACTTTGCATGTTCACCCACCCAGTACAGCGCTTCGTGACCCCATAGGGAGCCCCACCGAACCCCTCAGTGGTACCGCCCACATGCGTCCCCCACATCCAATTTGGCATTTTCACCCACCCAGTACAGCGCTTCGTGGCCCCATAGGGAG